CTGCCCGACACCAACAAACTCTCTAAAGACCCAGTCACCAAGAGCTTCTTACCTCTAGGAGCCGTGGTGATTTGGGTGGTCCAGGGTCTGAAGTACTTGGCAGAAACTGTGGGGGCTCCCAGATGGGTGGGGGCTTCAACCTGACCATGTGAAAAATGATTAATTTCAGTTGCCCTATTCCTTTCTCTCTTTTTTTGTTGTTGTTGCTCCCCAATGGGGAATTTTTAATTGCATTTTTATAAGACTACAAACTATAACAGAAATGGGGAAGGGGACTACATATAAGGGATAAAGAAAAGATATCCACTACTGACTAAAAACCCAAGTGCGGAGATAATCAAATTAGCTTACATATACGCTATGTCTTAATCACGCTAATGCCATTATGAGTTGAGTTACATATCATGTTATCTCTTTCACAACTTAAACTGAACTGTTAACAAACAATACCCCTCAGCATCTAGCTTCCATACTTTCTTTTTCTTTAGAAGACGTGTTTTTTATTTTGAACAATATATACAACAGTACATTCATAACATATATTAACGCTATGCAATAATCAACTTTCTCAACCCTTAAGAGCCCTTTTAAAAATATAACCGATCCTTGTAATAAGAGTTGTTTGGAATCACTTCTTCTTCTGCTAGATAGTTCACCACTGGGAACCAAGTTGCTTGAAAACTTTTTTGGTGAGAGACAATTTTACCATATATAAAGTGCTCCCAAAGTTTGTTTTGCCGACATTGGAGAGTAGGTTGATTTTTGTTCTTCCAATACTGGGCTATTGATGTGTGCAATAGCATCTAGCTTCCATACTTTCAAAGGCACATTTCAGAGTCCTTCAGCCTTCATTTCCCCTTCCCCTGTCTCTCTTCCGCAATTTATAAGGGCTTTTTGGGGCTGGTGCCCCTTTCTCGGATAGAGAGTCCTCCCCGGAAGATCCCGAGTCCAGCTCGCCACTGGACTGACTGCCCATCCCTTCTTTTTCTTCCTCCTCTGCCAGTAGCCCTATTCCTGACCCCAACTGCTTAGCTGCCCCAGAAACGACCAGTGTCCCTAAACTCCCCTGAGGGTTCAAGCACACCTTTCTTCTCCACTGCGTCTGCCTCACAGGCCCATGCAGCGGTCCCTCCCCGCCAGGCTGGCTGTGGAGCACCTCTGCTTTGCCCCCTCTTTCCAGCTCCACCTTATCAAACCCTTTCTGCTGTATACCAAGAAGGAAGCCCTGAGGGGATACCTGAGCAACCGCATGGCAGCGTCTCAGCCACTTTCACACTGGCAGAGGCGGTGAAACACCAGGCCACCCCCCCCAGTTGCTAAGCAACCACAATAGGCTTTTCCCCATTCTCCTGAGCAATGTTCCCTCTAAGCTGTGGAGTCTTGTGAGCAAAAATTCTACTTTGTGAGCTACCGGCATTAAAGCTGTGAGCAAGAGATTTGGCTGCTGGATAAACTAGTTTGCTCTGGAGCCATCCCTTCCTGAGCGAAGACGAAAATGTGTGAGCTAGAGGCTAAAAAACTGTGAGCTAGCTCACACTGACTCAGCTTAGAGGGAACACTGCTCCTGAGATGTGTGAAACGGATCCTGGTTGAACGACAGCTGCAGTAGGGACAGAGGAAGCTGGATGCTCAGTATCTGGCCACAGAGCATGCCCCCCTCAGCCTCAGCACTGTGGAGAAATATCCCATCATTCAAAATTGGGGCCTCTCCCTAGGTACTGACAGC